ACATTATAGGTTTTTTCGATATGAGGATTTTCAACAAGAACCAGTAAACGCAAACTGGGCGGCATGTGCTAGGATGGAAATAAAAAGGACCTTGTAACTAGCTGCCATCAAGGAGATGCCGTAATATCCCGCATAGCCAACGGAATACATAGGATGCGGGGCCATCTCAAAGACGCCGTCGAAAGTGAGTTCCTGATCGATTAGGTAAAAGAAATCTCCCCAGTACCATGCGAAGTCTTTGACTACCCGATGGGCATCCAACTTGACCCAGAGGTTGAAGAGCACCAGGCTCATCCCAGTAGTCCATCTCAAGGCTAGCATAATGAAACTCTCTCCAGCTGGGCGACCGCCACAAGCGATTGCGAACAGGCAGTATGAGGTAAAGTCACACATCAAAATCAGATCCACCACACGTCTAAATACAAGCCAGGTGTTGTATTCAGTGGGGGCTTCATCGAAAGAATACTGTTCCGATATCTTCGTTTCCAATTCCCACTTGAGCATCTTGTACAAGGTCGGATGGGGGTTCTGGCCGGTGGATGGGTTCACGAAGATGTTCGACTTCTTGGCCCAACAGACCAACGTCCGGCCGTTTGATTGCATGTGCAAGAGCCATCCTATCCCGATGTTGTAAGAGGCACGCCAGAACAGGAATATAACGGCAAAAGCTGCGATCCGGAACGAGGATGGAAGACACCAGAGCAGAAGGATATGGCAGCCGAGAATGGCGAGGACAAAGATATCAGATATGTTTTTCGGCTCTGAAGGGGAAAGTAGCTGCGATACCATATCACGAGTGGGGGGCACGGTGAAAACTATAGTTTGATGTCATTTGGCATTAGCAAGGCCATAAATAGTTCAAGTATGAGGCTGAAATGGCGCCAGGCTTTCTATTCGTCGGGTACAAATAAAAGTAAAGGGCCCCCAGTCACATCGCTAGGGCGCTGAATGACCAGACATGGTCTATTTTCACGGCTGTTATGATACAGTGCATCCTCCTCTTGGTCATAATAATTTCCATCGAAACGAGGAGCGAGGGAGCTCACCTTTGCCATCTGGAGTTCTACCAAATGTCTTCTTCTCTGCATCTGCCGCATCCCCTTCCTCTACTTGTAACTTATCCTCTAGAGACTGGGAAGTTACTTCCCGGTCCCCAATAGGTTTCGATGTCTGTGCATTCCGTTCTCGAAGCCCATTCGAAAGGGATTCGATGCCCGACGAGTTCGCTTGTTCACTCATACCTGGAGCTAGAGGCTATTGTCGAAGTTGAAAACAACAGCAAAAACACCAACACAGAGAAACGAGAGGAAGTCAAGTTGAATTGACTGCCAAGTGCTGAGGCGGAAGACGTTAAGAGGGTCGTGAATGTTGGTCTCGGGGAAAGGTGGTGTTTTGGAAAGGTTTGACTGGAACTCTATCTATAACGTTACTAGATTCAAGCCCCACGGTTCTCGACGGCAAGAAAACAGCAGCAGCAACAACAAACAAATTTCCCTGTCAGGATAATACAACAGGCATATTCTTGTTGAGTTGTGCTATTACTGTGTATATTTAAATTTGACAAAACTCGACAGAGGTCCCCACACCTTTTCTAGTGTGGGGAGCGCACCACATTCAAGGATGCTGACAACCGGGGGAAATGATGTCAGTGGAATTTTTCGCTTAAGTGGGTTCTCCTCTGAGGCCCCCAGCTCGACATTTCGGCAAGGAAATCTATCATCATATAAACAGCCCCGAGCGCCAGATACGAATGATGATGGCATGAAAGTCTATCTCACCCATTGACCAAGTTCTTCACAAGGTCTTGTAGGATAAAAATTTATGCTGCTCCAGTTTTCATCCCCCAGTGTCAGGTCAGGGCCAAGTCATCGCAGATGGTTGAACCAATAACGATCCGACGGACCGCTCAAGTCGCATGCTCTAGTTACCTGTCTTTCCTGCATTAGCGCAGGTTAGCAGCGCTAAGTTTCGTTGTTGAGTCCGACATGTGAAATGCTTTTGTACTCTCAACAATCAAGCGCGTCATAGAAATGAGATGGCATGGAAATCGAATATTCTAAGGCTGGGTGAAAGCCAGTACGATTTTCTGGATTATTCCGTTGCCATGTTTCAAACGGGTAGTTTCGAATTCACGGGTCGTACGGGAGCTATCCAAGGTTGTTGTTATATGGGCAGTAACCTTACTTGCTAGCTGATCCCTATGTCCTACAGTCCTTGTGTGCAATCTCTTTCTCTTTATATCCCTAATTGGCATCTTATGTGGCCCCTGGTGCAAGTATACAGTCAAAGTCGGGTGGCATGGCTACGACCCTTCCTGGGAGCCCGAAACCAACCTGCGTCACTCTGTCCCAGTTCAAGAGGGCGGCGCGGAAGTGCAACGCCCACAAGACACAGCCAAAATGATTTGAGTAGGTCTTATATATGCCCTAGTTAGATTATTATTCTATTTATAAATTCTATCCTATAACATCTAGATCCTTTTATACTTCTTGAATCACTCTCCGCATGTCCAAACCCAGATTTGGATTAGGCTTCTTCCATCGTCTCCCACCCGGGAACACGATTCGTCGTAGCCTGTTAACCCAAGATACCAAAGGCTGGTAGTATGGAGTGAAGTTATCTGTTGCAATTCTGAGAAAATCACCTTCATCATCTATCACCCCCTTTTTTGATCCAGCAAGCCTTTCTGTGCTCATGTAGTTCCACTCCTCAAAATCCCCCACTTCGCTTCCCCTCCCAGGCCCTTCGTAATGAACACATATCCAGAATAGAACCCAGAAAAAGGACTCAAGATCATGCATGAAGGAGTGATTTTCCCCATATAGCACACCAATCGCCATAAATGCTCTAGTGCCAGTTTTGCCTCGCGCCCCAGAGTAGCCATCCCGCTGCTCTCTGATTGCCAGATCAAGGTCAATCAGAAATGCCCGCCAGGAAGGGTTATCTTTAAATCCTCATTTATCAGGAGATTTTGTGGGGAGATATCACTCTGGATCAATCCAGTTTTTGAGTACAAAGATTCATACCCTTCAATGCAGAGCTCGATTCCTTTAAGCAAAGCAACCTTGGAGCTGCTTTTGAATATAGGGATCCCATAGTCCCGAACAATGACACGGCGGTGGACTCGATTGAGTGGCTTGCCCTCTGCTGAAACTTTTGTTAGGGAGTTTGACTGGGTACGCTTGCTAGGAGGAGGAAACACTGGATCCATGCAGTCAAATGACCGTTTCTGTCCAATGACACTGTTGCCAGGGTCCTTTCGCCCTCTATTAGATGCACTCCGCTTTGGGAGTTCTTGCAGACTGTTCGACTGATTGTTCATTGTTGGAATGCTGAGACCTTTCCGAATGGCCTGGATGTCATCGTCTTTACCGTCCACTTGGACGGTGACATGGGAATCATACCGGGCTCCATTGGTGACCCCGCACTCCGTGGCCTGGCGCAGCAGTTCCCCTTCCTCATCGCGCTCTGAATACTGCCAGGAGTCCTTGATCACCAGGGGCATCTGCAAATCATCCGCCTTACGATGCGCCCTCCAGCAGGTTGTGGCTCGGCCAGCAATGCATTGCGCCCGCAGGATCACTTCATCAATGACAAGACACTCCTTCTCACGACCACACTCAATCTCAATGCAGCGTCTACCATTCACTGTGACCACTGTGGGATCAAAACCGAGTTGAGATCGGTCCATGAAGAGGAACCCCAGCATCACTGAGATAAACCTCAGGCCATCTTTGTTGATGTTGATCCCATCTGAGGCAATCCCGCCACAACGGCCAAATTCCCAGACGCGTAAAATTGGTCCACACAGTGTGAAGCCAAGGACGAATCGGCGGTCGTCTTGCGCAGAGAGCACCTCTCTGGCATACCGGGCCAGAACGAGCCTTGCACCAGAAGGGATATCATACTTTCGGTCATTCTTCAGCTTTCCTGGCACTAGGATCTCTGACCACTTGTATGTACTTCTTGTCTTGTGTGCTGTCTGCGTTGTCCACAAACCCTACATCAAGTTTTCGCTTTGCAATGGATCCAGCAATTGGCTGGGCTGGCTGGGCCAAGCGTCTGCGGGCAGGTGTTCGAGTCAGGTCATGATCCTCTGCAAACTGGGAAAGCTGGTTAATAACTTTGATTAGCCAATCAAGTACATATTTCTCATCCATATCATCAGGCCAATCCTTCCATCCACTCTTGTCATTGTAGAGCGGGCTATCCCTGTGTTGCACTTCTGGTAGACAGCCTGTGCAGCCCTGCTGAGACCTTCAATGCCATCAAAATATGCTGCAAATAATCCAGGAGTGTTCACATGGAGCTCTCCTAACAGCTCATCCCTCAAGAAAGGATCAATATCTCTTGGTAGTTCCGACGAGTTAGCGAGACTACTGGTGTTGCGCGAGTGAGAGGTCTGTGGAATTATCAAGGACGACCTGGGTGGAGGAGGAGGAGTGGATCTGGTGGCCTGTGAGGCCTGTGCGACTGAGGTGATAAGATCGAAAACGGCCTTCCATATGTCAGTGTCGGGTGCTTTCTGTATGATAAGTAGATTAGTGGTTGGCAGTGGCTGTAGTTAGAGTCATCCTGCTGAAAACTTTTGAATATGCTCGCCAGTTCTGATGCAATATTCAGCTTGCTTATCGGTGACTGGAGATTATAGGATGCCTTTTCATCCATTAAAGTGATTAGAACTTTCAATATTGTCATTCGATTGGTTTGAACAGGGCCATCAGCGGCACCATTATAAGATAGCAAGTGAGGCTGTGCTGCCCCTTGGAAAAAGTCACGTAACCGGTCGAGTGTCCTCAGAGGGTATTTATCAATCGAAGCAATCTCGTCTGATGATAACTCTGCGATGCTGGCAATGGAAGATCTGTAGAGTTGGAAGATAAAGTTAAGATATGGAATCCGATTATCGCGCGCTTTATCGGAGCGGATTAACTATCCACCTGATGGGCTCACCACGGATTGAATAACCCAGGCGGAAGGTGCCGCAGCTTGCAAAGGTTATGGCTTAACTCACCTCAAGAGACCTGCTGCCACAGACCCAAATATGCCTTGTGGTGAAAGAATCCCCTTGTAAAAAGCGGCGTCTATGGGAAACGATGTGATTGTCCGGACTACTTATCTCGAAGGGATATTGGCCAAAATGTCGACGGCATCCAGGCAGCCCGGGGTGGACAGACTTCAATTTTACCTAGGTTTGAAGAGGACGGATGTGAGAGTCGGTTCCTGTTCGAGAGGACAACTACGAACCAAATATTTACTACGTTAGAGTGGAATACTGTCCCTGGGGGAAAGATATACTATGGTATACATTAAGACGTGAATCTGGTGAACAAAAACCACTGTGTTGTTGAATGTCGGTGCTCAACGCCAATTTCTGCCTGTTCCGGTATCGCTCTGTCGCGGCATTTTGCAACCAGCTCCACCGGGACTTCGAGGGTACATGGGAATCATCCCTGTACGGTTCCAGGCTGCTGCCTGCACTGTTCCGGGATCCTGCAGGCTGCCTGTGTGAATGTCACACCAGTGGTTGCTTTCGCGGGTGCTTTTGTGGGCCGATTGGCCCACCAGTCCCTCGACCAAGCTGCCAAACAGCACAAAAGTTCCCCATGGTGGTCTCCGGGTCACTGTGTCAAGTGGTGGATGCTATGGCTTTCTATCTGATGTCCCTGGAGTCATCGCTTCATGTGGATAAATATTGAGGAGAACACGGTGTTTGAAGCGGAGGGTCAAGATTGTGGAAAATCATCCCCCGATTGGAAGTTGTTTGATGGTGAAGCCAACGCGGCGATGGACTCCGCGTCGCTTAGGCTTCTACATTGCAGTACAATTGACTACACAATGGAGCTTATTGAAAGCCAGTTTAAAGTGGTTGGCAACCCCAGAGCGATGAGCAGCCGCGGCTGTGGGACCAGTAAGCTTTTCCATCAGTTGGCTACTTGGATTTTTCGCGGTGGACTGTTTGGCACCAGTATTCATTGAAGTTCATATCCTTTTGCAGTTCGATCTCATCAATATCATTGTAATTATTATCCCCACTTCTGTACCAGCAATGTCCTTCCTTGCCTCTGTTTCTGTGACAACATGAGGCACTTGTTGGAAAAGGTGCTGCTTGGTCATCCAAAATAAAATAAAAAGTCCGTATGCTTCATCATCGTATTTAATCTGAAGAGTCGAGGTAAAGTCGTGCTTCACAACGTCGCAAAGCGGA